TTCCCTCTCCTTCTTCTTCTTTTTCCCTCTCCTTCTTCTTCTTTTTCCCTCTCCTTCTTCTTCTTCTTCTTTTCCCTCTCCTCCTCCTCCTTCTTCTTTTCCCTCTCCTCCTCCTCCTTCTTCTTTTCCGTCTCCTCCTCCTTCTTTTTTCCCTCTCCTCCTTCTTTTTTCCCTCTCCTTCTTCTTTTTCCCTCTCCTTTTTCTTCTTCTTTTTCCCTCTCCTTTTTCTTCTTCTTCTTTTTTCCCTCTCCTTTTTCTTCTTCTTCTTTTTTCCCTCTCCTTTTTCTTCTTCTTTTTTCCCTCTCCTTCTTCTTTTTTCCCTCTCCTTCTTCTTCTTTTTGCCTCTCCTTCTTCTTCTTCTTCTTCTTCTTCTTCTTCTTCTTTTTCCCTCTCCTCCTTCTTCTTTTTTTCCCCTCTCCTCCTCCTCCTTCTTCTTCGTCTTCTTCTTCTTTTCCCTCTCCTCCTCCTCCTCCTCCTCATTCTTCTTCTTCTTTGTGTGAGGGACAACTGCCTGAATTACACCCATGAAGATCCTTGGTGCTGTTTACCCATTTGATTTTTCATGCTAAACTTCTTTCAATGGGAATATTTAACAATAGCTTTTAGTGTATTAATATGCAATTTTAAGAGTTATTTTAACTAAATTGTACTATATTGATTTGTTGTTTGTTGTCAGCATCCCTCTTTCAGAAATTGCTCTCCACTTTGTCCCATTGTAACAACTGTTTTAGTAACATATAAAAGGTTGAGGTTTGCATGCAAAATTCACAAGCGAATTCTCTGTTGGGTAACCGTTTTCTCTTTAATGATCCCAAATAATGTAGATCTGAAGAATTACATATGAATGAGATTATGATAAAAATCTAGAATAATTTCGTAATGATTTTGTGACCCTTGCCCTTAATGGAATCTTAGTTGGATAATAATAATAATAGTAATAACAATAGTAATAATAATAATAATAGTAATAGTAATAGTAATAATAATAGTAATAGTAATAGTACTAGTAGTAATAAGAATAGTAATTATCATGATGATAACTTTGTGAGACAAGACTATTGTTAGGTCTTGATTTCAATTTTATTTGTGTCTTCTTTTTATACATATTCTTTATAAATATTTTGGTGAAAATAAAAAAAAAAATTGGAAGCATGAATATTAATGTTTTCAAACTCTTTGAAATGTTTCAGGTCAGAGTGTATCGTCTCCTGTTGCCACACCTTTCTCTTCCTTACATGATGTTTTTGCTTGTTTTGCATCTCCAAGTGTCATGTGGCAACCTGTTCAGGTAGAGCAGCAAGTTTGTGAGCGTGTTGCAGACAGCATGCGTCAAGCTTTCGATGATCAGGTAAATAAAGTGTGTTCCAGGTGGGAATAAATCTTTGTGAATTCAAGAAATCCAGTGAATGTGATCTAATTTAATGTACAGGGCAACCTGAAAGTATGAGCTGCTCTGAGGACTAGAGTAAGTAGTCCAATCATTACATAGTTTGCTAAAACATATTGTGGTGTGGTTTTGTTTTTTGGGGTGCTGAAGATGAATCTGAAGTTTCCCAAAAAATATTTCTGTTGGAGTTCGAGTTACATGAGTTACAACAAAAACATGAAAAAATTACGTTTTCTTATGCTTTGCCCCAAAAACTATCGAATTTCGGCAAAAAATTACTCTTCAGCAAAATATTCTTCATGCAACTTTCTACACTTTAGTTCCTTACAATTATTTTCATTTTGTACACCATGTAGGTGTAATTGACAGTTGTTTTTTTGTAAACCTTACCATTAGCTCAGCTACCTTAAAAATGGCCAATCAGAACCATTTTTTTCTGTGCTCAGTACAACTATCTGCCTTACTAATAATTTTCTGTCTTACGTGATGAGCTTTTTCTTATCATATGGTACATTTTACCTATAGTTTTGATCTTGAATAACAATATTACAAATGGATAAAATTAAATATTATTATTGTTAATATTGTCAATAAAATGTCTGACTGATGAAAAGGGGCATTGAGGACACACATACAAAGCACCTTTCATAGTAAGAATTTATCTCAAAATGGCAAACAACAAAATGTATTTATACTAAGTTTTAAGTAAATATGCCCATAAGTTCTTCAAACATTATAAGCAGTGACTTATGTTATATTGTGTAAAATACAGTTTAACCAACATATTCAAACTTATTATCCAATAGTGGCAAACAAACAGAATATGATTTTTCGTTATGTGAATAAAAATCATGTCTACTCATAGATATTATTATGCCATACTATGATAATATCCTAACCATGGGTTCAGGGAAACTTCTCAAATATATGAATGTGGAAATCGAGATTAGCCGAATTGGAGGCATGAAAACACATGTCATAGTGATTGGTATTAGAACTCGCGAGTTCGTTTCTCAAAGATTGTTTCTAAACCCTAGGTCATCCAAAAGACTGGAAAGTGTGAGATGATTCTTTATTGTGACCAGCATGAATTTAGAGGACAACAAAACAATAACCATGAATAATAATAATAATAATAATAATAATAATAATAATAATAATAATAATAATAATAATAATAATAATAATAAATAATATGTTTGTATTTTTAATTACATTTATATCAGTCAATTCACTTATTCTTGGTCGCATTGAGACTGATAGTTCAATTTTAGATCCATCAGCATCCACAATGTTGAGGCAGATAATAGATTGCTCTGATTCAACATCATTGTCATCAAGGTTATTAAGAGTTGGGGCCTTCAATTTATTGCAGGTGTCCAACAATTAAGCATAGCTTTGAACAAAACATTCCAGTTTTCCTACATTTGCAATTCATCATGTACTTTTTCTTGCACTTGCAGGATAGATTCATGAGCAGGTGACATCAGAGATGTGATGAGCTGGAACTCACAATTTTACCTTTCTCAGTGATCAACATTTTTTAAATTATTAATATTATATTTTCTTTTCGTAAAGATGTCGCCACATCCATGGATCAAAACGAAGCACCTAATGGAATATTTCTAGATCTTTCAACAGCTTTTGACATTACTGATCATAACATTTTACTTTCAAAATTACCTTTGTATGGAATTCGTGGTGTTGCTCTAGATTGATTATGTTCTTACCTTAAACAACGATCTCGGAGAGTAGAAATGCCTTACTGGAATAATGGAACATTATGTACAAACCCCTTTGATTCTTTGCCAATAGCATGTGGAATTTCGCAGGGATTGATTTTAGATCCTATTCTCTTCCTACTATACTTAAACGACCCTCGATGATCAGTAATGGAAGAACAGTTCTCTTTGCGTACGATATGAATATTCTTTGCAGTAAAGAAACCGTAAATAGTAGAATATCAGATATTTCAAATTGGTATCGTAATAACAAATTAATAGTAAATGAAAAGAAAGCTGTTTCAATGCAGTTCCCCATTTCAAATAAACAGCTCGACACTTTGCTGAAAATGAACGGCATGCCATTAATGGATGTTAAGGTAACAAAATTTTTAGGTTTTTCAATTCAATTTTTAGGTTTCTCAAACCTTAAATGGAACGTCAATTTAAATGAATTGAACTCTAAATTAAGTTCTTTATGCTATGCTTTCAAAATTCTTTCAAATTTATTAAGCCTCCAGACTGCTCGTTGTGTATATTTCCCGAATGTTGATTCCCGCCTGAGACATAGCGTAATATTCTGGGGAAATACATCTTATAGCTCCCATACTTTTAGATTACAGAAACAAATTATACGAATAATAAGCAAATCCCACCCACGTGATTCATGCTAGGTATTTACGCATTACTTGTTCTTAATATATGAATTATTGTTTTTTGTCCAGAAATGACTTACGTTAAGGGCGGAATATAATTTTTCAGCAAATGTCAACACTCGACGTAGTAATCACATTCATCCGGTAACAGTATCAACAGCTCACAACAAAAAATTCACATATAATACATGTACATTATTTTACACAACACCTTGCCAGATGACATTAAACGATTAAATTCGATACAAAAATGTAAGTCCTAAGTAAAATCTTTTCTGCTAAAAAGTACAACTGTTTCTGTACAATTACCGACTATACTGAGCATCCAAAAGGAAATTAATATTAATTTTTCAAATGCCATTTAATGTATTATATATCATTTGGATTGTATAATTGTAAAGAATCTGGAACAAGTATTGTACTTCAGCTTCTGGGTCAATGACCCCCGTCTCGATCAGATTTTCACCCAGTTTCCTCGATCCTCGAAGTGTAGGAAATTTTATGTAGAATGTGTTGGTAAAGAGTAATTTTTCGCTTAAGTTAGATACTTTCAAACATAAAAGAAAGTTGTTTTTTTTGGTTATAACGCAACTTTTAACGAAAATATTTTTTGGCATAACTCGGATTCATATTTAGCATGCCAAAAAACATAAAGGAGCACACAATCACCACCATGTTTTAGGACAACATTTTTTTTTTAAGTACTTAGTGACTAGACGGAAGGTCGTGATAGGGATTGCAGAGTAGTTTGAATGGCTATAACTTAAGATTTAGGGTTAAAGTATGATACTTACTACTAACAAAAGACCTTTTGACTCCACAACTGCATTGCATTATGTAGAAAGGAAAAGAAATGGATAACATTTGATATGCAAGATAACAGTAAGTTACTCAGTTGTTAAGGATTTCAATAAATTGTGTTCTTTATGTGTATTCTTCTTCAATACGCTGGATTATGTTCTTCAATGCCATCACAGAAAATGGATGTTTCACTCTTGCACTATCCTAGTATTTGCATCTGTCTTTGGTGAAAACTGTATGGAACCCCATAATAGATATTGGATTAAACATAACATAAAAAATAAATACTACGAAACGTTCTGCAATGAATGCATGCATGGTACAGACAATGGTGTCATAGGTGGAGCACCTATTTGAGAGTCCAAAAGGAGAAAAAACTGTTATTCAAGAAAGTGCACACAGTAATACCCTACTAGATCAAAAGACAATACTGAACACTTTAGTTCAAATAGGACTGTCAAAAGCCAGTTTCCCTGCACCTCAAAAGGAGATAGATGTAAAGTAATGAAATGCTGTGTAGCAGGTAATTTTTCTGCTCAGTATGAGGAGTTGCTTCAGACGTATGGGTTGAGACAAGTGAGCCATATCAGTTTCAACCCGAATCAGTTCTTCAGGTGCAGACTACGCATGACTGATGATTTTGCACTTAACATCTGCTGGCTTTACTAATGATGAGATTCTGGCTTTTGCCAGTCCTAACAAAACAGTGTTTTGACCCTGTTGGGTATTGCAATGTGCACTTTGCAGAATAGCAGCTTTTCATTGTTTTGGACTCATCAGATAGGTGCTCTGTCTTTAATGCTATTGTCAGAACTATTGCTTGATGCAGGCTCATTTAGCCTGAGGCACTCTAATATTGAGTGTGGACCTTGCCCATAAATGTAGTTGCGACAGCATTGCTTTGAGGAAAAGACTTCCCATGCAACTGCACGTCTATTGGCAGCTAGCTTTGAAGTAGTAAGAACAACGAATGCGTGGGTCTAATACCACAACCTTCTTCAGTTACATTAAATCAACCATGGATTCATACTGTTCCTATGTGTATACTAACTTTATAGTGATAAATGTTTATTGATTTTTATTTATTTATTTATTAACTGACAGTGAAATACAAATAATATAATGCAAGTATGTACATTATTATTCCGCTGAGGAATTAATCCAGTGCGTGGGCCTGTTATCAATTTTTTTTTTTTTCCCCCAGAGCAACAGTTTTTTTCAAGAGCTCGTTTATAAAAGAAAAGAATACAAAAAAATAATCGGAAAATATAATTAATAAACAAAGAAAAGAAGAATGAAGCATATATTACAAAAGAAAAAGAAAATTCGAAGTACAGAAAGTAAAAAAGTAGTTATCACAATGTAGTTTAATTTCATAATTCTCATTGAAAAACTGAAGAAACTGTCTCATCGATACGCTTAATTATAAAGTTTCTAAGCAATTTCTTTGAATTTTTACGCAGTTTATCGTAGCTGGTATTTTTGAGTTCACTACTCAGTAAATTAAAAATCCTATAATTAATATAATTATGGTAACGTCCACTGAATTCTTTCACAATTTTCGGCGATACTAATTACTTGTTTCTCGTATTATTTTTACATAGTGATATATAATGATATATAGTGATATATGTATGTTTTCATATTTATTTGTTTAATAATCCTACACCGTGTACTTTTTATGAAGCTTTAAATATGTGTGTTGTTTTGTCTAACTTCATACATTGATACATTAACATTTTATTACAGAGTACTAGTGATCTTACCATTATGGTTCAAGACAGATCGATTCATGTTCACAAAGCAGTTTTGAAGATTCGATGCCTCCATTTTCGTTCAATGTTCCAAGAACATTGGCAAGAAGATAATCAAAGGTAAGAATGAAGACTTAATTTGATATATTTGTATAAGATCCCGAACTTGTAGATGGTGATAACAAATTTCATTATTATTAAGAAATGTAATTACATAGTTCATTATCATACATACATTCAAATTATTGAATGTTTGTTCAAAATGTTATTGCTATTTTATTGTGGATATTTCATTGAGAATTATGATATTTGTTTTATTTGGTTATGAAATTGTTTATTTTGATTTTCTTTCAGTGTAATTCAAATTGATCAATTCTCACACACAGTATATCGAGCTTTTTTGCAGTATTTGTATACTGATGAAGTCAATTTGTCTCCAGAGAGTGCCCTTGGTAAGTAGTGGATTTTCTAACTCTAACTAAAGTGGATGCTTTTATTTTGTTTAACATGAATTTTTTATAAAAATGTTCTTATTCACATCTCGGACTTGCTTTCTTTCTATCATGAATCACTAGCCAACATATTTTTGTTGGAAATTTAATTTGTGTTCTGGTTGATGTGACCAAAGGATGTAATAGAAGCGCAATAAGAAAAAAGGAAATAAAGAGTGTACAGTTTTTTTTTGGCAATGCTTTTTATTTTGTGTTTTCTATTAATAAACTTCAGTATGAATTACAAAGAAATCATGAATGCAAATTTGGCAAAAGTAAAAAACGAAATTGACCCAATTGACTCCCAGTACTGTTTGCATTGTGTAATGGGAGACCCCTGTGGGGGAACAGGAGTAATTTTGTGTTTTCATTCATCATGTGAAACAAAACATTATTTTTGTTTACACAACATACAACCAAAAAAATGATAGGTTGTGTGCATTAAATTATTACACCAATAAATGGATAGAACTATTTATTTATACTACAAAACTTGAGGTTTTTGTCCAGTTTCCCTAGATCCTTTGAACAAATTCTGGACAGTAAATGTAACTTCTTTCTTATTGAGAGCATGAGAAGATTGGAGAATAAGTTATTTGTCAGCAGTACATTAAAATGAAATCAGAAGATTGTTTGCCTAGACATTTCTGTTACATAAGAGATACATTTATCAAATATCAAAAGACTCCTTTCTACCGTTATTCATAATAATAGTGTCTAGTAAACAAGTGAGTAGGAACTCAAGAAGACATGAGCACAAGACTCGCACTCTTAGATCGTATTTGACTTTGTCATACAGGTTTGAAGTTGTATATGTGACTTAATAAATATTTTTATTGTTGTTGTTGTTGTTGTTGTTGTATTATATTATTTATTATTATTATTATTATATTATTCATTAATTATTATTATTATCATTACTCTCATTGCCAATTGGCTTTTTGCCAGCTTCCAGTGTAATTCATTTTTAGATACATAAAAATAACCTGTAAAGAATCACTTTTAGAATAATTGACACTGCTAAAATATGAACAAGGTTTCAATTACCCCAACAAGATGGCTCATACTACACCAACATCAATACTGTCATTCATCAATTTTTATAAAATTGTAAGGAAGTTTTAACAAGATATATATTTATACCCAGTTCTCTGATGTGTATTATGCTTGTTATAATATGCTGAAATCAGTTTAATTATGGTAAAGAGAACTTATTTGCTTAAGACCGTTTGATGTCAGCAGAATTTACTTCTGTTTGACGTCAGTAGAAATTACTGTGCATTGTTTGAAAACATATTTGCTCTCCTCTGAGAAAGGAGTGGCGCTTGAGTCAAATGGAAAGAAAAAATATTTTCCAAGAAGTACTTAGCATCATTTTTAGTTTTCCACTATGCATAGTTCAATTTGATTCAGGGAGGTTCCGTTTGTCCGAGACTTCTCATAAATCTGCTTTCTCCAACATACATGTTGGGTGCTTTAACAAATGCGTGATTTCCAAAATTACTACATTAATGTAAATACAATATTTTTTCCCTTCAAATTTTGTCATTTTCATAGATTTACCCTAATTACAGAATTGTTAGTACTGGCAAGTGCATACTGTGAAACCCAGCTGAAGCATCGTTGTGAACAAATTATACGTCAAGGTATCACAGTTGAAAATGCTGCTATGCTTTATGCTACTGCAATTGAGTACCAAGCTAAGGTGAGAAATTTGGTTTTAATCTATACTTTTAATCTAAATAGGTTTACCTCCTTTTTACCAGTCAACTGCTATATGGTCATTTACATGATTTTGAATATTTGCTATTTTGCATGAATGTAAATGAATCAAAGAAAAGAAAATGTTGCTGTTTTCAGGGGGGAAAAAAAGGGAAGTATTCTGTTAAACTTCATATACTGAAACTGGTGTGTTTATGAAATTTCAAGTTATATTCTAATTTATTCAGTCAGTTTATATGCAATTGCAGGAATTGGAAGAATTTTGTTTCAAGTTTTTCCTCAACCATATGACTGCCATAATACAGTCTGAAGGGTTTTCTTCATTGGATGAGCAGACTGTGAAAGATTTCATTCGGAAAGCAGCCAAGTGTGGAGCTTTCAAATCATGAAAGGAGATGATTCTCTCACACCAAGATGTTCTCGTCATGCCTCAACCTTGTCTGTACCTGTTTCCTTGTTCTGTGGTGCCAATTTCTTTTTGGTGGGGCCTTCTTCGTAAACTCTTTTGTGTCCAGTTGCCATTTACTTGCAGTGGCTCAATAGATGTGCAACATTTGTGACTTTGACTATTTTATGTGATAAATTTTTGTGAAATACCCTTTAACCTTCTGTGTTTTAATTCGGTTTGAGAGCTTTCACTTTTTATCTTATTTTAAATGTAAGCTGAAAACACAACAACAAAACGTCGTTTTGTGTTGATAACATCAAGTTCTGCAATTTTCCCCATATTTTATGATATAGTAAAGTAAGAACAAATTAAGAATGTGTATTGTTTTATCTACTGCATTTATAATTATTTAGTACATATGTTTACATTTGAACATTTTCCACTACTTAATATATCCTGTTACTCATTTCGTTGTATTGTGAGCTGTTCTGAATTTATAAAATTGGTTTGCTGCTTTCATAAATTTTGAAATGATAAAACTGATTACAGTGACCAGTATTCTCATGCATTTGCATATGATATTATTCATTTCTGGTGTGGAATGATTGATGCTAGTCAAAAGTATCAACCAGACTTCTCATCAGAAGTTTGAGACTGATTAATGTAATTCTACATGGATTTCAGTTTTACTTTTAGAGAGTAGATATATATTATTACATTTTGACCATTCCATTTTCATTAGAATTGTGTGGTTTGTAATAGATATTTAAACTTTTTGAGCATCTGGATGATACTGTAGTCTGTACCACTTTGAGTGGCTAAGTATTACAAAATGAGCACAAAGTAATTCCAATGAATTACCATTTAGTTTTAAAAATGGAATGAGAAGAGACTATTGTTCTGTAAGACAGTTGCCAAAGATGGATGTGGTTATAAAATATTACATTGAAATCTATCTTCATTCCGTGTTGTCAGGGATGGAATAAGTCATGTTTAAAAGGATTTCTGTGTGAAGGATACGTTTTGTGATAAAAGATTGTGTATGCTGTGTTTTCCTATAATAAAATTTTTGGAAATTTATTTGTTGTTCTGTGCCCCAGTGAGTTACATTGACACTTTTTAAATAATATTGACAATATCATACAAACATTTTTTATTCTTTACTTTTTATTTAGTTAATTGGTTATTTATCATTTCATTCATCTTCATTTGTGAAAAAGTTTTGGTCAATTTTGACCTGTAAGAGGGAAGGGAGAGTAATGCCAGTGAAAGAAACAACCACCCAGTATGTTCCTCAATATTAGTTATATTCCTTTGCCATTTTGGCTTCGGATCTGTAGATTCTCGCGGAAAGTGCGTTTTGTTTTTCTCAATTTTGTTGCAGCATGAGTCACCGGAACTTAATGTACTTTTCCAAGGTATGCAGCACTGCGGAAGGCTCAAGAGATAATTTGTCGTATTCGAACAGCGAGTGAGTTACAACCCCGATGGATGTCAGTCGATGTCGGGTGCGGTCGCAGGGTGGCGCGCGACAGTCCTCTCGTAATTTTTTTCCCCAGAGAAGATTCATCCAGAGAATGTTTGTGTGTATTAATAGAGAAACCATTATTAAATAGACTTGCATACAATACATATTAACAATAGTGTAAGGATTTACAATTGTAAGTGGGTTTACCCTCTCGTTTTCGTACGTATGTGCAGATTAATATATGTAGTTTAGAGAAAGTGATGTAATACTGCAGAAAATAGATTTGAGATTTCAACGGAAATACTCGTAGGGTCTCCTGACACCGTAAAAGCGTTTTTCAAAACTTTCATCTGTCTGGTTCCGTCTTCCGTCCTGTCCGTCCGCCCATCCGTGAACAACACTAGCACAAACATCGTAGGACTTTAATCCAATGAATAATCCCCGGTCGATATGTCCCTACTCGAAGCTCTGCGATTTTAAAATAATTCTGTAAATTTTGGGGTTTCAATTTACTTGGATCTCAAAAATGCCTCTAGAATGTTTCTTTAGGTTTCTTGAAAGAAAAGAGTAAAACACACACACAAATATGGCACGGGTAGTTTTCACTGTTAACTGTGAAATTTTGAAAATTGCGAAAGTTGGAATTTTTTCGGCGTTTTCCTACAATTGTAATATTGAATATAGTTTTTTCTTCGAATTAAATTGCTTCTACACAATACGGCCATTTAAGATTTTAGATTTATGATAGTTCTTAGGATTAATTTTAGCACGAGGCTTCCCCTCAATTATAAAAAGGATAAGTAAAAATCCCTCTAAAAGAAATGAAACAATTGGTTTTAATTTAGTGGTAGTATTAGAGTTAGCCCTATCACGCAAGTCTCCCGTCCGATACAGCAACGCTGTATCGGACGAAATAAGGTAATAAGGTGAGTTGGGCCAGCCACATGGAGGGTGTGGTTACAGTATATATTATTGCATTTGCGAGTACAAGTGCTTCATTGTTATTTTAAATTTTCTCGAGAACTGATTGTTTTTTTTTGTGAAAATGAGCCCATTTCGATTTTTAGATACGCCCAATCACTTTCCTCGAAACGCCTTTCTTCTAACGTTTTTGAACGGATAATGCTATAGCCACTGAATAAAATTACTTTGATTTATTCTTTCTTTCAAAAATTACACAAAAGTCCTATTTTCCCTTTTGTCTCTTCTGTCTTAATATTTACATGTAAGACATCTCTTTCTTATTGTATTTGTGAGTACACTGCTTGATATTACTTCCTATGAAGTTTCTTGACAACTCGGAAAGTTTTGTATAAACATTAATTTCAAAATGCGCGTTTTCAGAATCGCTTAAATCACACCGTAAAAACTGTTCCAAGTTTTGCAATGAAAACGTGCATGTAGGACCAGATTTTGCTCTTCTATATTTTATATAGTCATATTTCAATTCCACTATAATAAACCCGAAATATTGAAGAAAAAGCGCGAAAAAATGTTTGAGGCTCCAGTAGATGGCAGTTCCAGAAGAGAGTGGTGTAAAACCGAATAGATAGCCCAGACGAAAGAGAAAAAGAAACTAGTACGAAAAAGTCTGAGCGATTCTGTAAAACCCTATTTACTTTCTTGTATAAGGTAAATTATGGATGTTGTTCACGCGCGACAAGCGGTTACCCAGCTCTGGACCATGGGATAAGATGTTCGTGTGGTTACGTGGCACGAAAATATCCCTCCGCCGTATATACTGGTCTTCGTAACCTTAAGGTGGGCTTTCTTATCGTCACACAATAGATACTGGAACATTTGAAAGGAAAGCGCACAGTTATAATTTTGCCCCGGCCGGGAATCGAATCCGGGGTTGCACCGTGGAAAGCGAGCATGCTAACCAAGGGCATTTTCTTGTATATTATTACGTAGTATTGAGAAAGTATTGTTATGTTGCAGTAAAAAGTGCCATTTTTCGACATAAAGCTCGTTTTGTGGATCCCTGATTGCAGAAATGTTTATTTTTCTGACTTTCATGTAGTAAATTACTTTATCAAATTCATTGTGTAGTTAAAAATGTACTGTGTTCGGGGATCTTGAGGCCCAAAGGAGCGTTTTCTTCTCAACGTCCGACTGTCTATTGACAATTCTAGTACCTAAAGCGTTTACCCCAAAATTGGCGTACTCCGATCGATCTAGCACTTGTGGCTCTAAGAAAGTGAAACTGATAGATTTTATTTCAGGGGTGGGAACAGAGTGGAAAGTGGACGCTATGCCGTATCAGTCAGCGCCGGCTTCTGGGGGATGGGAGGGAGGAATGCCCTCTACAATATTTTGAATTTATTCAAATATAACTCTAGAAAGGAAAAAAACAAACAAAAAACATTATACTTTTTTTCAACTACTAGTCAATTTACAGCAACATGTTGCATGTACGCGACTTAGGGACAATGAGTATATCAATTCATCTTGACATGAAACTAATGAAAACAGTTTGAATGCAGAGGAACATTATATCTTTTACGTTTGTAAATTGTAGTGCTTTTGCACGATCTTCACTTTCTGGCTTTATGTTCCTCTTCTATAATCACGTACATGATTGATTGACTGAATGGTGGTTCCGGGCGCGTCAACGGCTAAGGTCCCCGTAAGCGTAGTGCATGTTGTATCACTGGAAGTGGCGGTGATCTTCCCCTGCTGGATGTCGAGATCAGCGTTGACCTACCCGTCGGCTTGTGGGGTTTCCTCAATCTGGTATATGCCACCAGCAGGCCACCTACTAAGCCAGGACAAGCTCTATGCTCCCATCTCGTCTCCCACAAGTGAGGTAGTGTAGTGCATGTATCAGTGTGTGTGTGTGTAGGTAAGGGCTGAGTTACGTAGGTAGAGGAAGGAAAGATCGCGCGCGGTCCATGGCCCGTTTGTTAGGGTACTGGTATGCTATTCGCGTGTTGTTGATTGGGGAAAACAATGAAAACTGCCGATCTGAGCAACCGGCCACTAGAATTCTTTTCCGGCGGCTGAATTCGTCCTGGCTATGTAGGGAGTGTCGAAAATACTGCCACCGTCGGAACTCGAGTCCTATGGCTTCCCATACAAGAAGCATTGCAGTTACATTAATTGATGCCCCAAGTCACCTAAACCGGTATCCCTACATCACCATAACGCAGTAGTACTATGTTATGTAGGGAGTCGTTTGTGGATCAACCAAAATGTGATTTTTCAGTCTTCTTTGTATTCAGTGACTCACTATTGCGTTCACTTTTGCACGGTCTTCATATTTCATTAGGGTCATGGCCAATCCCTCTCCCAGAAAATATTTTTATTTACCAAGACATAGTGACATGTGGTGTCAAAAAGCAAGAACAGATGAAGATCTCGTTAGCGAGACAAAAATTAATCGTAAAATAGCTCTATTCGGAACTGTCTTATACAGAAAGCTTCAAAAATAATGATATTTGACCCGAGACCTTGTATACATATGAAAAACAAGATCCAAGTATACATACGTAAAGATCTCGGTAAAAATAAAACATCATGTATATTCTTGGCTATGCAGTGTTTTTTCTTGACTTTTGACAGCACTTCTTTCTGTGCGATGTAATCGCACGGGTTCGGATAGTGTTGTAGTATATTTTCCATGAGTTGACAATTGAACTGTCAATCAATTTTTGTGAATTTCTGATAACGAAGTCCTTGACACCATAATTTTCTTCCATGAGGATGGCAAGACTGATTATTGACAAACGAGCAATATTAAATGAATGTCGCGCGTCAGAATTTGTGAATTCATTCGAGAAGAATTTCATGCGTATTTTTACAATAAATTTGCAAATTACCTTGGAACATTACATTTGAAGAACATCAAGTGAATACAAAGAAAACCAGAACCGTAAGTAATACTAGATAATAAATTTCTTTAGCGTGCAAAGGTCGATTTTCAATTTAATGAGACTTAGTAGAACTTATCCTCCTTATTCACATAAACATACAAAATAGTAACCTTTTAATGCTTATATACAATCGCCTTAAGAACACAAGTCAGACTGAGTCTGAAGAGATTTAAAATCTTCAAAATTAGAGAATAGTATGTATGGAAGTGTTAAGCAACTCAGGGGAATCATATGTATTTGTAAAAGATTTTACTACAGAATTTTGCGAACTAATTGAGAACGATTTTATATTAGCATTAGAGAATAACGCAGAAGAACAACTTACAGGTGACCATTTAGGTTCATATTAGCAAAAAATGTAGCTGTATTAAATTCTAACTATTCGTATCATCCATACCTCGAAGTATTTTTTACGGCGATTATAATTTTGAACTTGCAATATTACCAGTTCATATCCCGTAACATACAAGGTCATTAGTTTTTGGAAATTTTTGAACGGGAGTAGAACATAAAAGTTGCTACGATTGATTGGTAAGTTCAATCCCAGATATTGTAAGAACATATTTGAACAAAGTTAGGCATGATAGAAATTCAATTTGAAAGAAGATTTCAACACATGAAAATACTTTTAACTGTTTACAGCGTCGGCAACGCCACGTTCAAGTAGTGTAATAGTATTTGCATGACTTCTTTCTTCTGAAGAATCCTGCATAAGCCACCACTGGCGTCAATGCTGA